CCAGAGCTGAAGGTCAGACGGTTGGTTCTGATCCAGCTCAGGAACACGGGTCAGGTGTTAGATTTAACCTTTGACACAGTTGATCACAGCATCCTTTTATCCAGACTTGAACATGTTGTTGGTCTTGAAGGCTCAGTTTTAATGTGGTTCAGGTCATATTTGGCTGACAGGTCTTTTTCTGTTTCTATGGGGGAATATTCTTCTTCATCTACTCCGATTTACTGTGGTGTACCTCAAGGTTCTATTTTAGGACCTATTCTTTTTTTGTTTGTACATGCTGCCATTGGGATCAATTTTTAAAAAGCACAAAATATCTTTCCATTTTTATGCTGATGACAAATGTCTGTGCCCCTCTGCAGCCTCTTTTAAATTGTCTCCAGGACGTCAGACTGGTTATCCCTGAACTGTCTGATTTTGAATGAAGACAAAACTGAAGTTATTTGATTTGGTAATTATCCTCCTCTTGATGGTTTACCTGGATTTCTTGGCCCACTTGCTCCCTGCTGCTCATCTGTGGTCAAGAATCTTGGAGTGCTTTTAAATTTGAGAAACAAATATCTTGGGTTGTTAAAACCAGGTTTTATCAGCTCCGTCTAATCGCCAAAGCAAAATCTTACCTTCCCCACAAAGACCTCGAAACTCTTCTCCATGCTTTTATTTCATCTAGACTGGACTGTTGTAACTCTTTATATGTTGATTTGGAACAATCATCTGTCCATCGCTTGCAGTTAGTCCAGAACGCTGCTGCGTGTCTTTTAACAGGTTCTAGAAGGAGGACCTCATCACTCATTCTTTTACTTATGTTTAAAGTTTTAAATGGTCGCACCCAGTTATTTATTGGCCCTTTTGCACTTTTATTCCCCAAAACAGAGAACTTAGATCTTCCAATCAGATGCTTTTAGTGCAGCCAAAGGCAAAACTAAAGCGTAGAGGGGAACAGGCTTCTACTGTGGTGGTCCTCAGGCTCTGGAACAACTTGCCTCTCTGATCAAACACGTTGGGTCCAAACAGAAACCGGGTCAGAACAGAATGGATCTTGTGCTGAACAGCTGAATGTCTGAGGAGTTCTGGTCTTGGTTCTGTTCTGCAGGTAGAACAGGAGAGATTCTGCGGAGAGAACACTACGACATGTACAGCGGCAGTAAGTCCACCTCTGGTTCTGGTTCTGGTTCTGGTTCTGGTTCTGGTTCATGTTTGAGCAGGAGGTCCGAGTGACGTCTTTTTGTTGCAGGTGTAGACGGTTTAGTTGAGTTCCTGAAGAACATTGATATGGGTTCTGTGGTTCTGATGGCGACCTACGACGACCCAGCAACAAAGTAAAACATGTTTCACCAGTTCTGGTTCTGGTTCTGGTTCTTAGAATCAGATGAATTTTATTTGTCTTTAATGCTTTGTAACTTCTTCAGACTGAGCAGAACTGTAACAGAACCAGGAGTGACTGAAGGGTTCTGTGTGTTGGATCAGGTTAAATGATGAGGCCCGACAGCTGATCTCTGAGCTGGGAAGTTCTGCCATCAAGACTCTGGGCTTCAGAGACAACTGGCTGTTTGTTGGAGGGAAAGGAGTGTCTGTGAAGAACAGCTTTGAGAAGGTGGAGACATGCTTTATCTGGGGTTTAAACCATCAACTTTATGTTCCTACTGCTAATGCTAATTATACTACTGCTAATGCTAATTATACCACTGCTAATGCTAGTTCTACTAATGCTAATGCTAGTTCTACTACTGCTAATGCTAATTATACTACTGCTAATGCTAGTTCTACTACTGCTAATGCTAATTATACTACTGCTAATGCTAATTATACTACTGCTAATGCTAGTTCTACTAATGCTAATACTAGTTCTAGTACTGCTAATGCTAATTATACTACTGCTAATGTTAATTATACTACTGCTAATGCTAATTATACTAATGCTAATGCTAATTATACTACTGCTAATGCTAATTATACTACTGCTAATGGTAATTATACTACTGCTAATGCTAGTTCTACTAATGCTAATGCTAATTATACTACTGCTAATGCTAATTATACTACTGCTAATGCTATTTCTACTACTGCTAATGCTAACTAATTATACTACTGCTAATGCTAACTCTTCTACTGCTAATGCTAACTAATTATACTACTGCTAATGTTAACTCTAGTACTGCTAATGCTAATTTTACCTTTAACTACCTTTTTTGCTTGATTTAAGTTTTATCTAGCCTAATAGCAGCTTAATAAATTTGCCTGGTTTAGCATTTAACTAGCTTTCAGCTACCTTTAGCTAACATTCTCTTATATTTAGCTATCAGTTTACTTTTCTAGTTTGTGGAATGCTACCTTTAGGTTTTGATAACCTTTTGCTGTTTAGCTAGCATTTAGCTACTTGAAGCTGACTCCATGTGTTTGTCTCAGCACCTGAAGAACGACCAGTCCAATAATAAATATAAGGACTGGCCCGAGCTGATCCAGCTGGACGGCTGCATCCCAAAGTACATGGAGTGAGGTCCGGCTTGGTCCTGCAGAACTGTAGACCGAACCAGACCTGGTCCAGAACCGAGGAACCTGCAGTGAAAACCTGCGTTTACTGGAGCCTGACTCAGTCGGGTCAGGGTCTGATGATAAAGCTTCAGGGTTTGGATCTTCAGAACCTCAGCAGATCTGACGGGAGGACTCGGAGCTCCACCACCGAAGAAGAAAACCTCTCAGCTTCTGTCCAGTTTTTAAATCACATCAGTAAAAAACTCTCATTTTTATCTTTTATTGAAGAATTTTAAAGTTTTCTTTCTGCTCGCGGCTGCAGGTTTTTATATTTCATTTTTCTCAGGATCTCAGTTTAATGTTCGCATCGATTCACTTTACCTCACTGCAGTGGATTTAATGTTATATTTATTTATTAAAGTTTAATAAAAGTCAACATTGAAGTCTTAGTTTACATCAAATCTGTTTCTCTTTTCATAAATAATCTGACAAACGTCTTGTTTTTCAGACTCTACACTGTTTATTTCTGGTCAAGGTTGGTTTTTTAATCAGAAATAAAACATGTAAATAAGGAAGAGATGGACAGCTGTGGGGTTTCCAGGGTCACAGATCAGATCAAACATAACCGGATGAAGTGAATTAGTTTTCAGTGACTGATCAAACATCCTGCAGTCTGTTAAACAGTCCTGTTGCAGCTCAGCAGGATGTTCCAGATAATTCAGCCTTTTGTTTCCTCTTCACACATCAGCGCTGCGTCTCAGGCAAATATTGATTTATTGTTTTATTATTTATCCAGGATAATCCCATTCAGACGTCAGATCTCTTATTCAAGGCCAGTCTTATTCTCGTACAAGTTTAATCTGTTTAAATTATCTGTAAAACTGATTTTAAAGTCCATCCATGCAGGAAATCAGCTGTTTGTTTGAAGAACTTTGTTTCCCAAACAAAAAACATTCAAATGATCAAAACGGTTCAGTAAAAACAGAAACAGGAAAACTTCAGTTCTGCTGATTTTCTGTGTGAAGCTCAGAAAAAACTAAATCAGCCTCTTCATCCTGCAGCTTCACCCTCCTCTTCCTCAGAGTTCAGTGACGTCACTGAGGACTGACCTGAGACCAGGTTAGAACTGGTCCTGGTTAGAACTGGTCCTGGTTAGAACTGGTCCTGGTTAGTTCAGCAGCTTCCACAGAGTTCAGACAGAAAACTGAACTTTATCTTTAATCATGAGTTTCACTCTGAGGAAACTGATCAGGTCCAGGTCAAAGACCAGGACCAGAACCTCAGAGACTTCCGGTCAGGTCCATGACCTCAGTGACTTGAACCCGTCCTCCCTCCATCAGGGTCTCGTGCAACTGCGGGTGGTCCAACTTGACCCACAGCCGCTGTTTCAGCTCCTGAACCTGACAGACGTAATCCTGCAGATGAAACATCAAACTGTGACTTCAGCTGCTGCAGAACCAGAACCAGCTGGTCCGGGTCAGAAACCTGAAAATTAAACCTTCACTTCTTTTATTGCTTGTTGGGAAAAACCAGATAAAATCTCACAGGGGGTTTGCAGGACTTCAGGTCAGCGAGGACAGACGGGTTCAGAACCGAGTTGTAGATGTCTCTGTACCGGTCCACTGTCAGACCGTGGATCAGAGGACAACAGGGGACAGAACCGTCCTGTCTCCCTTCTGTCCTCTTGTCTTTCTCCTGATGAAAACAGAAACATAATTTCATCTTGTTAATGTCAATAAAAAAAAGACCTGAAAGTGTCTCTGCAGGGTGTGGACCTGCAGGGTGTGGACCTGCAGTGTGTGGACTCACCTGAACACCCACCTGAGCAGCAGAGGGTTCAGACTGCAGGACATCAAACATTTAAATCCGTGGAGAAAAGAAACAAAATGAGTGAGACTACACTTGTTACTCTGGTCAAACTGAACAAAAAGGTTTAATTACTTTAATTAAAAAACAAAAACACAAAGTTCTAAAAAAACCTCCATGGTTACAAAACAAACAGAGTAAATATTAATCAGACAAACTGTTTTAAATCTTTATTTTCATTCAAACTAAAGCATCAAATATTTAAAAAAGTGTTCAGAAGCTGAATTGAATCAGAGCTGAAGTCTGAAGCTCCACCAGCAGGAGGCGCCACGACACAAATCAAACACACTGCATGTGATCAAACAGCCAACATGTTGGATCAAAGCTGAGATTTTAATTCATCATTAATCATTTACTGATTTCTAATAAACAACAGGAGGTTTAAAGTTATTAAATTATTCTTTCTGCTGCTGAATTTGTTCCACATTCTGTCCCAGCTGTTTCAGGTCTGTTCAGGTCTCAGTGGGGGGGTCACGTGACCCACTCAGGTAAAACCTGGTGATTAGATTTTCCTTCCGGGTCCCAGAGGACCTGAAGCCTCCACCTGCCGGGCTGCGGAGGCTCCTCCCCGGCTCTCCGGTAGAGACACGGAGCTCCCACCGGACACACACACACACACACACACACACACACACACACACACACACACACACACACACACACAC